GCTATTGGCCAACTGACTGCATCCCTTGCTACTCCAAATCACCGCAGCCCTGCCCCTACGGTGAGAAAAAGTGGCACGTCCGAGTGATTGACAACAGGCACGCGGTACCCAGGGGGATCGTATTTGGTCGCTGATAGGATGGGGGTCGTATTTGCCTTGGAGGGAAATGTTTCCACCTGTTGTCCTCTGTTCTCCCTGCCTCATTTGCGCCATATACACCCGCCCTCCCTTGTCCTCCCGCCGCTCGACGGGGGGGGAGAGCGAAGGGAGGGCTTTTTCTGGAGGGGAGATGGGGAGCTGGGCAATTTTTTCGTAATAAGGCGGGAAGCCGGGAGAATTGAGGAAGGTGGTGGGCAGGATGGGAGATTTGGAGAGGAAGGTGATTCCAGAGAGGGAAGGTCAAGGGAGGGGGTCGTATTTTGCGAATGTTTCTTTAACGGAAGGACGTGCCCTGATTGATAAAGCCTTGCTTTACGCTCATCCACGTCCATGGTCTATCTCGTCACGGTTTATCGTTATATTCTGTGTTTTGGATGGCTCTTTCACATAACATAAATTTTTATTTATTACAATGAATCTATCCTCTATCGATACAGTATGCGTTCCCTTCGATGTCATTGTTTTTTTGCCCTTCTGACGACGAGACTCCATGACTGTTTTTACTCGCTTCGACATGTCGCACACCATTTCGCGCTCGTCGGCGTCACTAAAGAAATTCCAGGATTTTAGGCGTGCCACCGCCACGTCTCTTCGCATCAGCCACTTGCCCTCCATCACCGCTAGGTTCGGTCAGTTAGGGACCGACATCATTCGGGAGGGTCATGTCATCATCTGAAGGCAACAACACACCAAGTCCGTCCAGCGTCGCCTCGTCTTCACAGCAGCCCAGTGAGTTTTTGAGCGATTTATAAGTTTTTTTTCTGCCAATTTGGCCGAGTTTTTCATTTATCCCTTCACATTTCTGGTGCTTATTCAGCAGCATCTTTGACGAGAAACCCCTGTGAATGAGCTTCCCTCTTGCGGTTCCACCTCAACTAGAATGGTCCGTGACGGCAAAGCGTCGTAACCGAAATGCTCGTCGATGTGAACACATTTTCTTAACGCCGCCTTAGTCAAGGCATATGTTTTTGTTTGAATGTAAACCAGTTCATGCCACCAATTCAGATCTTGCACGGCAGTTCTTGATTTTTTGCGCCGAAAATACGGCCTCTCGTCTAAATACGCCTTAAATTACCCGAGCAAGATTTTCAAATTCAGCATATGGTGGAACCAGTGGGGAATTCTTGCACAGTCAACAATCTGCAATCGAGTTTCACTTATTATATGAAATTCCAAACCACAGGGTGCAACGAAATTCAGTGCGTTCAGTGACGAAGCCGAGGAGCGTGGGGACAGAATTTTCACACTATTTACCTTTTGTTACCTTGGTTCTCGTTGCGGGGGATAGAACTTCGATTCGCCGGGATGTGGTCTCCAGGGACAACTTGTCCTTCTGATATACGAACATCGCTTCGGTTTGGCATGAAACCATATGGCAAGAGCGCTATACCGCCAGGATTGAGACAGGCGCGTTGCTTTTGAGGCCAGGCGATTGCGAGCTAACCGCTGGAGACACGTTTTCAGCCACCTTGATGGCCTAGGGTATCTTGGCGCAGGCGTTTATGGCGCGGTGCCAGCAATGATTGATGGTTGGGAGCTAAGTGGGTCAAATACGTGTTCACGAGGTCGAACTACCCTATGATGCGAATTATAAGCCAAATCTATGCTCGGAGAAAAAAAAACGGCGGAAACCCGGCCCTGATATGGACGGGGCAGTAAAAGGTAAATAGCGCCGAAATTTCCACATTTTGGATAAAGCACTTGCGCGCTATAGGTTTGTATCAGTGAGCAAAATAGGGTAATGTAGCAACGACTTTTCTGGAGGGCCCAGTAGTATGATCTGCAGCCGGCGCTGCCCTAGGACGCGCAAAAGCAAGGTGTACATTTCAGAGGTGAAGCCTATGAGAAGAGAATGCTGAGCGCTATCAAGAACCATGAAAGGTAGCTACACTTCGCTGGAGTGGGGATGCTGGGATTGGCCGGCGGCTGGGCAGGAATGGACAAAATCAGAGCGATAAGACAAGCACCGGGATTCGGAGTCAGGGGTAGAGACGAAGATGTCAGGGAGTTCACGCAGACGGCTCCAATCCAGCTGAAGGCACGGAAGCAGCTATAGCGATGGGACGGGGGGGGCAGAAGGTCTATAAACCACGCGATGAGACAAGCATCGGGATTCGGAGCCAGGGTAAGTCATTACGAAGAACCCGAAGGAAACGAGGGAGGGGCGTCTTCGAGAAGAACCTCGCTGAAGTGAATGCCATGGCAGAGGATGCAGTGGGGCGAGGTCTAGCAAGAACAGCGGACTCTGCAACGACGCGAGATTAAAGCTAGGGAAAGAAGAAGAGAAATCTCTACACTGAATGCACCTCGTAAGGAAGGAGTTTGCGATTGCATTATGGTGAGCTTGCACCTACAACTGAGACCTAGACCCAATGGACCATTGAGGATAAGCTAAAATTATTGTAGGCTATGTGCATGTTAAAGGAGATTCTACATTGAAAAACATAGAACCGGAAAATAATACCGGTTCGGGTCTGGCCGCAGACATCGTCTGCAGGCAAAGACGCCTAAATAGAGCCTGGGAAAAAAAAAGAAGAATCGAGTGCTGACCAGCGCAAAACTAGGCGACCGAGAGAAGGCTAGCGTTCATAGTTCGCGTGCAAGCCTAAGGGCAACCATAAGCACACAACTATGAAAGTCTGGAATCTTTCGTGAAAGTTTAGGCTGCCTTCTGGGAACTCTTAGAGTCTTTCGTGGAGGCCTACGCCCAGCAATGTGGGTCTGACTTGAGAATTCAACTCCAATTTCTCTTCCGATACCAAGCACGGCTTAGTGCGTAGAGGCGGGTGTGTTTTGCATGGACGGCCCTATGCACATTTCCGTTTTTTTTTGTGCTAGCTTTGTTGTTTCTTCAGTGTTCCGAGGACAGTCTCCGGGAAAACCTGGCCTCATGTTTTGTAAAAGGTTCCGTCAATAGATCAATGGGAACGAGAAATAGGTCCTACCCGGGACATACAACGAATGTGCACACCTCGAAATATTTTGGCCGCAAAAGCAAAAATAAGTTTCCAGGGAAAATTTCTTGAAAGTTCAATTAATTAGTCAAGTTATTGGTGGCGTCCAATAATTTAACGCATCATTTTTCTTTTTCGCTACCTTCAGTCGGCTTCTTCACATTCGCCGCTTCGCAGAAGAATATTAGCATATTGGATCAGTCATTAACTCTTTATTATTGGCATATTGCTTCGAAATTTTCAGAAAGCCTCCACAACATATTTTTAGCAACATATGTTTACTTGCATTACACATTTTTGTTACATTACATTTGTTTCTTATGGGCACATGCTTCCTTTTCGACATCTGTATTCAATTTCTTGAAGACAATTCCCGCGATCAAGAGCTAAAGGTAGTAGGAGCTCAATAATGAACCAGTATCCTGTGAGCGATTTCCCAGTAAAGAAAGAAGCGAAAAAACTGTGGATACACTCTGAACAGAGACCCCCTTAGTGTTGCGTGTTCCATGGACGAGTCTGTCGGACGTGGCAAGCCCAATCAGCAGGGTTCGACGTGCAACCAATTCCCAAGCACAGGGAATCATTCTACGAAGCCCCAGGAAACGCTATGTACACACGCGATTCCGCTTGTAAGCCGTTGTCTTGCAGAGTGAAAGTAATCGTGGTTGCAATGGTTGCAATAATCACGCGTCTCTAGCTTCTTTATCTCGCCTTTTCGAGTGACGAAAGTGGCAGATTCTGTGCGGATGCGGGCAACGAGGCCAATTGTGCGGTGGCATTTCACGGACCACTTAATCGCAGGAATTGTCTTTGATCTGAAGTGCATGTAGAACGCGAATGATCTCAAAACATGGAGCAACTTAGGATTTACTAATTGTGATTCCTTTCAATATCCAGAGACCTATCCTCTTAGAACCTGTCTGCCATTTTCGCATGGGTATATCCCCAGGGCGCAGTTTGCCGACAGGGAGAGGGTGGGGGGGGGCATTTTGCACTTTCGTTGCTTCACTAGTTCTGGTTTACAAGTCTCACTCTGGTGAAACCTGTGAACTCTTGTGAAGCTGGAGCAAGCTCGTCAAGCATCATGGTAAAACCTGTCAACTCGAGAAGAGGCTGTCTAGATGGGTCGACACGTCGATGGGAAGTCGTTAAAGTGCAAAATTCTCCCCCCCCCCCGTCGCCAAATAGCGCCCATCGCAATCAACTTGACCCGTGGTAGAGGCTTGTTGGTAGCGTATGCGCTACTCTGTCCGTGAATCGATTATTGTGCAAATTAGCCGATCAGCGATGTATGGTTTGTTTGTGTGGGTAAAAAAGCAGCCGTAGCATCCGGCTAATCTTTCCTTGTTTTGCAAAAGTCTGGGAGTATGAGTTTCCCCCGATTTCTTCTTGACTGGTCTGCGGGTGCTTTCTTTTCTTTAATGAATTCTCTCTGATCTTCCCTCCACAGCCAGAATATGCCATGCATGTATACCTTGCCTCTTCCACCCTCACCACCCTTTCAACAGGGGGACGCGAAATTTTTGCAGTTTCTGCTCATTCACGGTGGAGAGAAGTTATGATGTGATCACAGAAGTTACCTATATTATGATCGTTGCGGAGAAATTTGGGCGTATTTGTGGTGCATGGTAGGGGTACTAAATGGAATCATGGAACTTTGAATGGCCACGTTGTGCACACCTGTCAAGTCATGCTGTCGGTCGGACTCTACAGGTCTAACCAAAGAGACACCTGGTAATTTACAAGAACACAAATAAAATAGCAGAGTTTCAAATCCCCCCCCCCCCCTTCCGTGTATGGGTCACGGCGCATTCTTCATATAGGCAACTAAATATCCAGAAATGATAGCCTACAAGTAGACACAATGAATGTGCAATAATTAAACAGATGATTTCAGCTTTGCCGTCAAGTTCGTCGTCGTCACAATTACAGTTGAGTGGCGTAAAGAATCCGGTAAAACGGGAGTCACCGCAGTTAAAAGTGGAAAACATCGCAAGAGCTGGGTGAGTGCGTGGTATTTTTTTGTTTACCAAGAAAAAACTATAGAGGTAAGGTACAAGAGTGAATTAAAACGCATCTTTGTTACAGTACGCCAAAACCGCTGGCTCCGCCCACGTCCATATCGGAATGGCAGTTGCTAGCGGTCCTGCAACGAGCGAATCTTGTACAGTACTATGATATGTTTATTTCACAAGGTAACCATGGACAGTTTTTTTTTCACGCGCAGTGGTCTAATCGATCAAAACTAAGCAACCGAAAACATTTTTCTCTGAAAGGCAATGACGATTTCCTTCCTCAAGCGACCAAATACGATCCACCTTTCCCTCCCCCACCCCTTGCCGCTGGGATCCCAAGGTACAATGTACACGTTCGGAACGGGAATGCTAAGAGTCGTAGGATAGTTTCTACAGGGAAAATTAGTAAGGGCGAAGAAAGAGGGAGTGATTTGTTGAAAAAGGGAGAGGGAGCGGAGGGAGTGAATGTAGGTTCAATCAAAGGGAGGAAGACAAAGCATACGGATAGGTGAAATGGCGGTGCCAGTAGCACCCTTCACCTCTCCTCCCTCAGACGCCCAATTACTGCTCTGAAATTTCCACAGACCCCGTCCCCCTCGCAAGCTAATACCGCCTCACCAAACACTTTCAAATACCTTCCAGTTCTCGTGAGTATCACGCATTTCCCCAAAAGATTGACGTCAAATGTGGGGGACCCCAAAAGCGGTTTAGAAAAAGTTTTTTCTAGCGGTTTAGAAAAACCTCTCAAAATAACTACTTCTCCGCGCTCCGATGGGATTTTCGATCATGCTGTACCCTGTAAGAGAGGTAATGAGTGGCTTAGTAGAGTCGAATTTTTGTCCCAGAAAAAGCAGTCAAACCCGAGAAGACACAGATAAGGAAGGAGAAGAAGTAGCATCCGGCGCAGTCTGGAGGTTGATGCCGATTCCATCAATCACCGCCGATGCCTGCAGCGTGGACCTGCTAAGAACAGTAGAACTATGCAGTAGCAAGTGCATGCAATTCGTTCACCCTTTACAAAACTCTACAAGTCTCACCAAGATAAGACGTTTTTCAACGGGAACTTGCAGGAGATACTAGTGGGAGTGCAGAATGCCCCCCCGTAAGCCGAACAGCACTGTAGCATCTGATAGAACCAATACTTCATGCTTCACATTCCTTTGTTTCCTCTCTTTGCAGGAAATTCCATCAGGCTAATGGTAAGATGCCTAGCGTCATACGAATTCGTGCCAATTTAGGGGGAGACGATATCAATCAAATAATGCAATGTGATGAAGGGGAATTCTTGGAGATCATGTCACTCGTCGGTATGCTGTCGAAGCCACTACATGTCCGACGCTTACAACGAGCTTTAACAGTTAGTTAATCCACCTATTTAGTCGCACTCCTCTTTAGTGAGAATTTTTGATCTGTTCACTTCCTTGCGCTGTGATATATTTACGCTATCAATCTGTAGCACCAAATGGGCGCATTTGCAGGAATTCTCAAAAGATCAAACCACCTTCAACTTGGCCGCCATTCAACATATTGGCCCACCGCCAGTATCACCGTACGCATTGGGTGGTCCTGATATGTCATTCCTCATGCCTGGTAAGGTGTTGCTGTGTTTTTGATTCTGATCCTTTTCCATCTAGGGCATGTGGGAATTTAGGCTATGAACTCTAGTATGCAAAATCTTGAGTTCGTTTAACCAATAAAGGGGCAAAATTGAACTTGTCAGCCTGTTACTACAGGCCCTGTCAGCGCAACTGACAAATATCATATTCCAGGGTTCGCAACGACCCTTACGAGTCTGTCGTCCGCGTCCCCGGGCTTAGCATCGACGTCGACTGAAACGACATCACCGCAGAATGGAAACGCCACTCACAACTCGGTACCGTTGGGTTAGTCTTTTGGGGGATTTTGGGAATGGTTTTTCATTGAAAATTTTCTTCTTCATT